GGCGTGAGCCACTGTGCCCAGCCATGCTGAAGCCTTTTGTAATGAAGCCTTTTGTAATGGCCTCCTAAAGTGCTGGGATGACAGGCGTGAGCCACCGCGCCTGGCCTAAGAACATGTTCTTTAGACCTCCCTGCAAAGACCCCTAGACTCATTACCAGAGTCTCTCCCTATTTTTCCCTCCGCCTCTGGCAACCACAAAGCTCCTTCTTGTCTCTGTGGATTTGCCTGTTCTGGAAAGGGTTTGCTTGTTTTTAATCGTGCTTCGGGATCAGTCTGGTGCTACATCTGGGAACCACTGGCCCAGAGGCATCCTGAAGACCCCTGTCTGCCGCATCGGGGTCCCAGGGCTGGCTGGCCATGGAGCCAGGGGATGCTCTCGTCTCCTTGTGGAGCTTGGGCCCCAGTGACTGAGTGCGCAGTGGGTCCACCGCTCCTCGTGGCAAGTCTGTCCCTTCTGCAGTGGTGTCCCAGCTCTGCAGCGGTGGCACGTGGGAGCAGTGGGCAGAGGCACCAGGACTCGCCACTGCAACAAGAGTGGAGAAGACCAGCTGCACCACCAGGCTTGGCCCCAGCCTGGAGGGGCAGTGCGGGTGCAGCTGCCTGGGCCAGTGGCCTCAGTTGGGGAGGAGGCAGCTTGCTTGGGGCCAGGACTGAGTGGGGTGCATTCTGGCAGGCGCCCGTGAACTTGGAGGACGTGGCTGTATACCTTTCTGGGGAGGAGCCAGGATGCCTGGACCCAGCTGAGCGGGACGTGCCGCTGGAGAATGAAGGTAACTTGCAAAGGACTGTGCCCTCTAGGGGGCTTGCCAAAAATAGGAACTCTCAGGCACCAGTTCCTGGGCTTGGTTCTGTTGGTCCAATTGGCCTGGGGCGATCCCGTGTGACCAGGGCTGCCTGTGTCCCTGCAGAGTCCCAGTTGCAGGGCCTGCACAGGCACTTGGCCATGACCCAAGCAGATGGCCAGCACTGCCTTGCCATCCTTTTCTTCTGCTCCTGCCACCTACACGCTGGTCCTACTTCACTTCAGCTTCCCTGTGGCCTCCTCTCCAGGGCAGAGCTGCCTCTCCCCATCGCACTCGGCACCACCCTGCCCCAGACCCAGCACCGGCTCCTCAGCTCTTTCTCTGCTCGTTTGTCTCTTCCTGCCTTTCCTGATGCTGCTGAAGCCTTTTCTGGTTATTTTGTTTTGAGGTGGAGTTTTGCTCTGTTGCCCAGGCTGGAGTGCAGTAGCACAACCTTGGCTCACTGCAACCTCTACCGTCTGGGTTCAAGTGATTCTCCCACCTCAGCCTCCCAAGTAGCTAGGATTACAGGTACCTGCCATCATGCCTGGCAACTTTTTGTGTTATTAGTAGAGATGGGGTTTCACCATGTTGGCCAGGCTGACTTCAGGTGATCTGCCCACCTCACCTTCCCAAAGTGCTGGGATGACAGGCGTGAGCCACTGTGCCCAGCCATGCTGAAGCCTTTTGTAATGACAGTGAGATGTCGCTTAGTATTAGGGTTCTTCTCCAGAGAAACAGAACCAATAGAAGATACGCACAGACACAGATTTATTTTAAGGAATGGGTACTCAAACAGCTCCCTTGGTTGCTTACAGAAGTTGACAAGTTTGAAATTTGCAGGCGAGGCCAACAGGCTGGAAGCTTAGGATTTCTGTGCCACGGTCTTGAGGCAGACTTCCTTCCTTGGGAAACCTCCAGAATTTTCTTCCTTTTTAAGGCTGAAGAATATTCCATTGTGAATAATGCTGCAGTGAATGTGGGTATACAGGTGTATCTCTAATCAGCTCTGTT